CCCCCCCCCCCCGCCAGAGGGTGATATTTAATGGCTGATTAATTCAATCTTCATGATTTTGTGTGAAACTGCTTGGATGCTGACCATAACTTTAGTTAGATGCAGAAAACTCTTTAATTATCTTAAATATTAACTTACTGAAAAATGGGTTTGGATTTCAAACTGGGCTCTCAAATGAAGGAAGTATTATCTGTGGCTAATTAATTGAAGTAACCAATATGACCACTGTCTGCTGACTTCTACAAGTAGCCACTTCTTTTGATCCTCCAGTCTATTCAGAGATGGGAAGGTGAAAAGCATTTTCTTTCCTTAGCAGCCATCTGTTTCAAAATTTATATAACATTAGTTACTAGACTGAAATTAAGAAGGCCTTTCTTTGCACCTGGAGGAGAAGCTTCAGCTGCTAAAAAAGCAATTTAGCACTTCAGAAACTGTGGGTACAGATGCTCAGCTGGTCACTTCCCCAGTTCGGCACTCTGACTCTCTTCCTTTGCTGCCAAAGCTTTGGGGGTGCTCTTCTCCAAATCCCAGTGTAATGATGTTAAATGCCGAAAGTTAGTGTAAGGCCTTACCAGAAGCTGTCAAATGGATGTGCCGAATTAGCGTGATTTATTTTCCTTTTGCCTGGGAGAACTGTCTTACTAAAAACTGGGATAGCAAGTTTGACTGAAAAATGATTACTAAAATGTAGTCGGGGACGTGTGTCCAGTCTAGTCTGGCTCTCCCTGAAGCAGGGTGAAGACCTGTACCTCCATCGCTCCTCTGTCACATGTCGGACTGGGCTGAGGGAGGGGACGGCCACAGGACAACACTGGGGGACGCGCGTTGCCACGGCTCTCGGATGGAGCTGGAGGATCGTGACGCCCCGACCCGCCTGCCTGCCGTGAGGCCTCGGCCAGCAGAAGGGTCCGGAAGCGAGGCAGTCGCCGGGGCGGGGAGGCCCTGAGGCGGCACGGTAGATCTTTGGTCGCCCCAGGAAAGCCGATGGTGCCAGAAGGCTTCCAGTCCTGAAGGCAGGCGCCGCGGCTGGGGCACGTGGCGGGCCAGCGCAAACACGGCTCGTGGCGAGAGGAAGTTGGTGGGGCAGTGACTCCTTCACCTCCCCGCGCTGATGGAGGAACCGTGACTCAGCCTGCTCCCTGCTGCGCTTGAGCACCACTGCAGCCGATGCTCTGACTAACCTGCCCTGCTCAGCGGCGCCCGCCCCGCTGTGAGGGCCCTGCTCCCGCCGCCTCGCCTGCCCTCACGGCCGCACCCGGCGAAACTCTGCACCCACAGGGACGCCTTGCATCCCGATTTCGGCACCCAGATCTCCCCTTTTTAGACCAGAGAAGTCAAGCCTTTTTTTTTTGTTTTTGGGGGGGGGGGGAGACCCTGGGCAACAGTAAAGAGAAGAGGGAGAGAGAAGATTACCACAGCCCTAACGCACCCACAAACGGTACCTGGGCACAGCAGGGACGCTGAACAGCACGGGTGAAGCACAGAGCACACACAAAGAAAGAAAACATCCAGAGAGTCGTGCAGAAAATGAGTTATAATGAAAGAAGGAAACATCTTTCTAAATGACTAACAGTAACACTTAGCTGATTTTTGTGTGTGTGTGTGTTTACTGGATGCCTGCAATCACAGTGTGTGTGCAGACACAGCCCTCCCTCAAGTGAACAAACCTCTCCACCTCCTGCTTATGCTTTTATACAAATGAGCTATGCTGATACAGTGCGGGGGGGATGACGGACACACAGAAATATAATGCTTTTTGATGGAAGCCCTCCACTGTCACTCACGGTGATGAACTTCCTGGCACACTTACGAGAAGTGGGGATCACTTCTCAGAATTTGACATTTAAGCAGCACCAAACACCTACATCAGTTCTGCTCACAGGGATGTCTTACACCGCCTTCCAGTACAAGGAATAATGAGAAAACTGTGGAGATTTTTCAAAGCAACACCCTAATTTTTTCAAACTTTTTTCTCCTCCTGGATTTGCACCCTCTTAAAAGCAATGCATTTGCTATATAAAAATTTTGGTGTGTCTTATAGGAAAAAAAAAAGTCAATAGTCATTTAGCTTCCTGTGCGCACCTTAATTGCTTTCCTTGTCACTGAGCAGTGAGTGCTAATAGTGGAAAGGAAGCACTTTAGGGGCTTTTACATAGGCAGGGGTGCTAGGTGCTTTTTTATGATGTGTACTTTCAAACAGCGGCTGTATGTTTTCAGGCTAAAATGACTCACAGAGGCTCTCTTCTATCTTTCTCATCTTAAACCTAACAAATAGTTGTCATCTAAACTTAAGACTTAGATTCAACTCAGCAGTCAATAGGAATAAAATCAGGGATATCTAACCTTAGCAGAATCCATAAAAATTATCACAACCCCAAATTTTTTAGTTTCTCTCTTTTTGCATTGCCCAGGCATTTAAGAAAGCTTTCTACCTCCTCCCTCTCCTTCACTCCTACAGAGTCCTCCAAAATGCTTTCACCAACAGGCATCTGCTAAGGAGACTTATAAAACCTATTTTCATCTGTGTTCCCAAGGCAGAGTGACATGAACTTTAGTTTCTTTGAAAACTCATGTCATTTTGAGATTCTCAGGCTTCCAATCCTTCCTGCATCAGAGTATTCTTTGCAACAGGTCCACTTCCTTCAACTGAAAAGTTTCAGCAGCCCTACCTTACGGGGATGTAACCTCAGCTTTGGAATTGTGTGAACATGTTATTTGCATACAGGACTTTTTAAAGCTTTACAACTTTTAATGCTGAGAAAAAAATTGTCTCTGCTTTCTCCTGTTATCTTTATAATACATTTTAGCAAACCACTTCTCCCATTTCTTATCCATAGATGCTTATAGATGAGAAGGCTGATGCCTTCAGAACTTGGTGGCCTTTTCCTTCCATTCCACATTTGTTACATGGGGCAACATGTATGAGCTCATCGGGGGCTTTCTAAGTGTTTAAAAAAGGCGGGGGGGGGGGATTTTTCTTGCTTTTTTGCCTAGTGGGAGCTGAGAAAAACTTCAACTAATTTTCTGAGGTTTTGCTTCTGGTACTTTTCACAAATGGTTGCTAGAGTTACATCCATTCAATACAGTTTTCTATGTAATTAATCTCCCTTGCATTAACCCTGTCAGGATGGCTTTTTCAAAGATTAAGTAATTTCACACTGCTTGTTAAGAGGATTCTCTACTCCAATTCTTTTACTATAGTAAGTAATTTCTGCTTCCAATACCTCCAGTATCATTTTTCCCCCATCTCTTCCCCCCCCCCCCCAAGGCAGAAGTTGATAGCACCAAAATAACCACTAAAAATAGTATTTTGAGTTCTAAAATCTTTTATGAGAAGGACAAAAAGCATCCAGGTCCATTTTCTGAAGCACAGCAATGGGAGCTGGTATTTCCCTACAACTAGAAACATCCTGAGCTACTTAAATTTCAAGTGAGCTGTGTGTGCTCAGTGCCTGTGAGAGTAAGAAGTTTCAGTTGCTGTCTAGTGTTTTAAAACAGTTGCTGTCCAAATTCAATCCATTACTATTTCACATCTCAGCTGGCTCACATGCAAATTATTGTCATATATTGGGGGGTGGGGGTTGTATCGTTGGTCATTTTGTTTGGGGTTTTGTTTTTTGTTTTTTAGGAGTACTGTACTAGTGAACACCTAATAAATACCATACAGTTTGGGAGAGTTGGAGCAATATTAACAGCTCCCACCTCACTTTGACGATGTTGTGGCTAAGGATGAGTAAGAGCTGGATGGCATAGAAATTTAGCAACTCTTTCCCCTTTTCCTTTTGTAACACAATACAGTTTTATTGTTGGCACTTTCTCTTTGTTCAGTGAGTTGCTTCAAAGATAAAGGCAGTTAATTGTGGAAATGTGAGCAGACAAATGTTTCCAGAATTGGGGTCCTTATAGTTTTCATTTGTCTTGGGTCATCCCATGACTTTGTCTGTTTACACATATACATTTAAATGCGTGCATTAGTTGCCTGGGAAATGAGAAAGAAGGGTTAGCATGGCAACTTAGGAGTCCTGTTTTCAAAGGTATGTCTTCTAAATTTCCAGAAAACTGCTTGCTCTGTAGTCATATCAGACAATTACAAAATGTTTAGGTAACACTTCACTCTCTTAAGATGGCCTATTACTTTAGAGTGTGCCTCCGAGTAGTATGTGGTTTTGCGGCTTGTTTTACACAGTAAAGTTAGATGTTTTCTAACTACGTAGGCCATTGCTATTTCGCATGACTATCTCTGCAACTGCTTCTACTTCAGTGCAACACGGCGCTCCTTGCAAAATTGAGGTCTCATTCAACAAACTACTTTCATGTTCTGGTTTAATCAAAGCAGTATGTCAAATACTGCCCAGGTTTACTGATTTACAAATAGTGGAACAACATGCTAATAAAAAAAAAGCCTTAATTTTTTTAAAACATAAAGTATGTGGGAGTGCTACAGTCTAAGGGGTACTGAAATTTGTGAACAAGTGGAAAATAGGAGTAGAAATTATATTTATTCTCTGGGAGCAGTGTGATAAGAGAAAGTAATTTTTAATCTTAATTTATATTCTGAATAATTCCAAGATACTGAGCTAGACTGACATTTCTGCCAGTTGTTTGCTGCTCCTGTACAGGAATAGATAGTACACACTTCTGTCAGCAGATGAACACCCTTCTTTGTATTTAACTATGCTCTGGTGCTTTGTGCAGGGGCATGGATATAACCCTCTGAATCACTTTAAATAGTTTACTACCTGCTATATAGTAAATCAGATCAGAATTTGAGCAGTTTTTACCTTAACACCTGATTTTAACCTGCCAAACCTCAAAGCAAACTGCATTCATTAGCACTGTAACTACACCGTGAAGACATTTTGAATGTGAACTGCAGTAAGTTCTCTCCAAAATAGGTGAGAATTGGGGTTGGGGAAGCAATGTATATTGCCTCCACGCTTCCAGGAGGGTCACGGCTCTACCACGCAGCAGGGCTTACTGCCACCTGCCTAATCCCCACTATCCTACCTCTGGGCTCTCAGTGCAGGGCTGCCTCGGGGCAGCTGTGCCAGCGTGTAGTCAGAGCCAGTGCATCTGCGCCTGCCCGTGCCTACGTCTCCTGCGCTCCTAGGAGCTCGTTGCCACTACAGCTCTTTGGCCTAATGTACCTGTAGCAGTGGAGATCCCTGTGCTGCAGACACTGAAACACTTCCTTACCTTCCTTGTTGGCAGTAGCCCTTCAAAATGAGTGTTTGTGACGGTAACTTTTCTGATGACAGTTAGACACATGACCTACGCTCTGAAGCTGCAGAGGCTCGTACTGTGCATAGGGGATGATTAAGGCAAGTAAGGAAGGCCCTGCCCTAATACTTCCAGTAAACGCTGCACTTCATGCCACCAGACCCAGACTATTGC